CATCTCTGGCCCCTAGGCCTCAGGTATGTTTCTGCCCGGGGTGCATCACACAGCAGTGTGGTGACTGGAAGGTCACATGCCTTTAGGAGAATTTCTTCCACCTGTGAACCACAGGCCACAGCTCCTACTCTGCCCACCCTCAGGGCTGGCGTGGACATCACAGGAGATGATCGCATGTACTGTCCATGCGCTGTAAAGACTCTCACACAGGCAAATGAAGAAAAGCCAACCTCCACCCTCCCCTGCCCTGGAGCATCCATGTCCCCTCTCTGGTCACCCACTGTCAAGTGTGTAGCTTCTTCTCCCAGGCATTTAATGATGGAGGAATCATGGAGCATTGAAGAATCAGCCGCTTTTTCTAAAGCTTTAACTCTGTTCAGTGATCTTTGGCCTCATCATGCTAACCTGTCAGCCCTATTAAAGTGTTTAGATGGCAGTGCAGAGAACTAGAGGCTGAGGGGTTGCAGGACGTTCCCTGGTTCTCGTGGCTCTAAGTGGGACTGAGCCCAGGCCCTCAGGTCCCAGCCCCCATGCTCAGTCACTCTGCTCAGCTGCCTTTCTGGACCGTCTCATCATAAAGGCATTTTCCACACAACCTTTCTCTTGGTGTTTCAAGTGCACGTGAAAACCCAAGATCTTCCGAAAGCCCAGCGTTGGCTCAGAGGCTGTCGGGGAGTCAGTGCAGTGGGATCCATTGTTTGAGCTCTGCATAAATTATGGTCCATTTCCTCTGGTCTTCTGCCAACAAGATGTCAGCAGCTCTCTTTACTGTGAGTGCATTTCCCAGGATCTTAGCTGATGAATTTGAGGAGAAAAGCATTTTCCTCCTTCAAGAATCTATACAGCCCCAGACCAGCAGCAAGTCAAGAAGGGGCCCCCAACCAAGCACAGGCACACCTGCAGACGGTGAGCTGATGGCACTGNCAGGTTAGTTACACAGGTATAGATGTGCCACGGTGGTTTGCTGCACCTATCAACCCGTCATCTACATTTTAAGCCCCACATGCATTAAGTATTCATCCTAATGCTCTCCCTCCCCTTGCCCCCACCCCTGACACGCCCCAGTGTGTGATGTTCCCCTCCCTTTGTCCATGTGTTCTTATTGTTCAGCTCCCACTTATGAGTGAGAACATGCGGTGTTTGGTTTCCTGTTCCTGTGTTCGTTTGCTGAGGATGATGGCTTCCAGCTTTATCTATGTCCCTGCAAAAGTCGTGAGCTTACTCTTTTTTATGGCTGCACAGTATTCCATGGTGTACGTGTGCCACATTTTGGTTTTGCAAAGGAAAGACTGGGGTTTTGATATGGATATAAATGTGGTGGGATGAGGACAGGATCCCTACTGTTTAGGGTGCTGCTGGGGAGAGTGGTGAGAAGAGACAGAGCCCTCAGGTTAGAGGAATGGACATTTGGTTAGAAATAGGACCCGGGTGGTCCTCAGGGACAGTCCTGGTGTGGGGTCTCCAGGTTGTAGCTGTGGAGGGTTCCCTCTAAGAAGAGAAGGGACTCTGTGCATTGTCCCTGCAGGGCTTGGGATGCAATAGGAGTCTGAAGACACTGAACTTTGGTTTGGAAGAAATGAACAGGAAGAAAGGTCCACTCTGTGCTGGTGCAGCCACTGCCCATCCTCAGCCAGGCCTTAGTCCAGCTGCACAGACAGTGGCTCAGGTCAATAGTAAGTCAGGCGGGAAGCTTTATAAACTGAGTTCATCAAGCTGACACTCCAGCCCAGGCGCCACTTATCAGAAAAGGGCATTAGCTGCTCACCCACAGTTGGTCAAGTGGAGGGAAGCGAAGCGGTCATGTGACAGTTTATAATGTTGCTTTCTAATATAGTTAGGGGTCAGTTGGCTGCAGGGGTCCCTTGTAACCAACTGATCATTGGAAATGTGTAGCCCATGGCAGCTGACTGTGACGCTGCTATGAAAGGATTGCCCTGTTTTGAATCACCCTCGTCCTTCCAAGGGGCTTCATTTGAGGTAAACCACATCCTGTTTGGGGTCTGGGATGGAAAGGAAGAGACAGAGGCCGGGTCTTGTGTCCAAGCTCTTTTCAGGGCTCAGGCATCTATTCCAGGACATCAGCCCTCCCACAGAAACCTTGGGTCAGGACATCTTGAGAGTCAGGGGAGTTCATGTTTTGGGGGGTCTAGAGCACGATCTGGAGGTCTGGAGTGTGAAGACATCTCTGGCCCCTAGGCCTCAGGTATGTTTCTGCCCGGGGTGCATCACACAGCAGTGTGGTGACTGGAAGGTCACATGCCTTTAGGAGAATTTCTTCCACCTGTGAAGCACAGGCCACAGCTCCTACTCTGCCCACCCTCAGGGCTAGCGTGGACATCACAGGAGATGATCGCATGTACTGTCCATGCGCTGTAAAGCCTCTCACACAGGCAAATGAAGAAAAGCCAACCTCCACCCTCCCCTGCCCTGGAGCATCCGTGTCCCCTCTCTGGTCACCCACTGTCAAGTGCGTAGCTTCTTCTCCCAGGCATTTAATGATGGAGGAATCATGGAGCATTGAAGAATCAGCCGCTTTTTCTAAAGCTTTAACTCTGTTCAATGATCTTTGGCCTCATCATGCTAACCTGTCAGCCCTATTAAAGTGTTTAGATGGCAGTGCAGAGAACTAGAGGCTGAGGAGTTGCAGGACGTTCCCTGGTTCTCGTGGATCTAAGTGGGACTGAGCCCAGGCCCTCAGGTCCCAGCCCCCATGCTCAGTCACTCTGCTCAGCTGCCTTTCTGGACCGTCTCATCATAAAGGCATTTTCCATACAACCTTTCTCTTGGTGTTTCAAGTGCACGGGAAAACCCAAGATCTTTCGAAAGCCCAGCGTTGGCTCAGAGGCTGTCGGCGAGTCAGTGCAGTGGGATCCATGGTTTGAGCTCTGCATAAATTATGGTCCGTTT